CAATTTCCCAATTTTCACTACTTAGAAAGATTGAGAAATCATTAAAGATTAAGTGAACCTAAATGTATGTCGTGAATAATTGAATAGCTACATGACAAAGGAACATAAATCCACTCGGGATCTGAAGTTCAGCAGTCTCCTTTCTCCATGGTTCACTGAGAATGATTGCAAGGAGTGGCTGGGAGGGCATAAAACAACAACGGGCCTGGGAGAGGCACCACAGTATTAACTTCTCTCCTGCTCCTCTGGAGGGGCCGCCAACCTGCTCCTGTCCCACAGCCTGTCTTTTTTTAAATTTAAAAAAAAAAATTTTTTTTTTTTTGACAGGCAGAGTGGACAGAGAAAGAGAGACAGAGAGAAAGGTCTTCTTTTTGCCGTTGGTTCACTCTCCAATGGCCGCTGAGGCCGGTGCATCGCGCTGATCCAAAGGCAGGAGCCAGGTGCTTCTCCTGGTCTCCCATGGGGTGCAGGGCCCAAGTACTTGGGCCATCCTCCACCGCACTCCCTGGCCACAGCAGAGAGCTGGCCTGGAAGAGGGGCAACCGGGACAGAATCTGGCGCCCCGACTGGGACTAGAACCCAGTGTGCTGGCGCCACAGGCGGAGGATTAGCCTATTGAGCCGCGGCGCCAGCCCCCACAGCCCGTCTTCTTCGGTGACTATCTTTGAATACATTTTTCTCACATATTTAATAAATAACCATTTAATCAGAATATAGATTTTCGAATGCTGACTTCATGTTGGGCACTCTCCTAGTTGCTGGGTAAACCAATGACGGGGATCTATTTGCAGATGGTAAAGGCCCATGGGGAACAGACATTTAACACAGTAAGCTCTGCAATGGCGGGATTACCCTGCGAAGCATGTGAGCATTGAAGGGCCAGTTGGTAACTCACTGGTGGAGGAGACCTATACGGCCTTCTGGAAGAAATGATGCTAATGAACTCAGGCTGGGGAGGAGAAAGGGGTGGCAGAACACAGGGTGTAGCAACAGATTAGATGTGCCTCTCTAGTTCTCCTCTTCTTATCTGTTATTTTCAACACACTTCTCAATACCTTTCTGAAAGAGGCTGTTAGCTGCACATTAATTATAAACTCTCCTCTTTTCTCTGGAATAAACGGAAACAGCAGGAAATATTAACCAGCTCCTTTGCATTCAGATATGGGGCTGGAGGAAGTCTCCATCAAATAAAGGAAATTTGTCCTTATTTACTCCTTTTTCCATCCTGGTGCCTAGAAGGTGAAGGTGGTGGCGAGAGTTCTGGCAATCATCTTGGGCCGTAAGGAAGAGGGCACACAGGAACAAACACAGGGAAAAGTAGGCCTGTGAGCTGTAGGGAGTACAAGTCTCTGACCTTACCAAACAGCAGATCTCTTAAGTAGGAAACAGAATTACCTTGTGCTCTCCACTGCCCCCACCCCATCACAGGCAGCTAAACCTGCTCATCACTGGTCCACCTTCCAAGATCACTGTAGCTCACCGCTACTATTCTCTGCTCTTCAGTCATAGCGCATGCTCATGCCATCCCTTAAACAAATAAATCTCCATTTGCGACTGTGTGGCCACTCCTGGATGTACATGTGGCTTCCCAACCAGTTATGAGCTCCATGAGGGGAGGCGGCTAATTTGTCCATTTTTTGTCATCACCATTTCTAGCAAATTCTTTGGCAGACTGCACATATTTAATCAATGCTCACTGTCTGATAACACCATGACTGCATGTTAGAAAGAATGTGGAGATTTGTTAAATATTTAAATATTCTGAAGAATATTAATATTAAATAGTAAAGGAATTGTAAAGGAAAATAAGTCCTCCAAGGGAGAAAAAGGCAAAACTCATGAAGCCATGGCTCTGAGACACCTTCGAACAGGTTGTGTATAGTGAAGAAGTCTCTTACTTTCCTGGAAACTAGAAGTCAGCAGCACCAGGACCAGCTTCTAGGCAGAAGCCAATCCACCCGTGCCCAGAGCCTCCCACTTTCGAGGTGGTGCCTCTGATGAAGTTCAGCTTCGCGAATGTGGAAGGTGCTTGTGCTAAAAGTCAAATTATCTCACAAATGTTTTCCTTCCTGGTCTTTTTTCTAAATGCAGAATCCACTTCTATGTGCATGAAGCACATTTCACCCTGTGCTGTGCCTCTGGTTGTTTCTGGGAAGACTTCAGCGTGCAGTGCTTTGCAGTCATCTGCTTTTCTGTAAAATCCCAGCTTCAACCCACCAGCCCTATGAACAAATCCACAAAGCCCATGGTCTATGAACTGTCACGGAAAACAGGCAAGTGACACTGAGGAGAAAAACTCAGCCACAAGTGTACATCAACTAAATGCAGAAAAATGAGAAAAGAGAAGAAAAGAATCAGGAAAAATATTTCCATTATCTAAAAAAAAACCCAAAATCACTTTTTAATTTACTTTCTCTTGGCCAGTCCTGAAAGTAAGCATTTGCTCTTTCCTCATTAACTTGAGTCTTTTGTGTAAATTTTTCCATTGTAAGTGCTCTCTACAAAATCATTTTCACACATTTCTCAGATACATCAATCCTTCCGGCATTCCTCTGTGCACACATTATGGTACCCCGGCTCTAAATATAAAAGACTTTTATTATGTCCATTAACCATGGACATATGTGCTCCAAAAGTTTCCTGACATGCAGTCATTTGTGGTTTTTTAATTATAAACAGAAAATATTCACTAGAAAAATAAAGAAGGGGGCCCATAAATATATCGTTATGCATTTGCGTTGTTTATATACGAACCGATGAGTAAATAAATGACTCTCTCAGTTGTCGGCTTCAGCATGCGAGCATGCATGTGTTTATACACACACATTCACTTGAGCAACGAAGCCCAGGCGTTGTCCAGAACTCAGATACTGGTAACTGTGGCTACTACCTCGGTGGTGTTTCTAAAATAAAGGAATGGATGTTCCTTCAGATCTCCCTCTACACAGACAATTAAACAGGGAAGAAGGTAATGTCCAGTAAAATATTTGACAAACAAAGTCATATTTATTGAATGCGTTTTATTTTAACAACCAAAAAATTCTAACAGCCTAACAATGCACATAAGTTAAAAATTAATTATCACTTAGTGATAACAAAGATAGTTGATTTACATGGAAAAAAGAACATTTACAATATGTTAATCCTTATTCACATTGTTGATACTGCAATAAAACACAATTTGTTTTTTTTTTTCATTTCACAAAAAAAAAAAAGGCGGGAAATTGTGCTTTGTCAAGAGGCACTACAAGAGAAAGTTTCTTCTTCCAAATAGATATTATATGACAGATATTGAATAAATAGACATATATGCATTGTAATTCGCAAAGATCTGGCAAGACCACAGGCTAAAATGCCCACAGATTCACTTAGAACCACTGCAAACTTGGCAGTGAAATTAAAAAATAAAAGGCAAGACTTAGCATTGAAAAATACCTAATAAATTTTTGGTTGAAGTGTAAAAGATACCAAATGCGGATGCCATCGATAGATGAGCCACCTTGTAAGAGCTTGGCAAATCAGTTTCAATTATGTGTACAGAGTGACCTTCAGCAACAGTGTCAGAAGACAATTTGGAAAGAGTAACTCGGAGATCAGGAAGCAGCAACCACGGACTTTCTGATTAAAGCTGCAGCATACTACAGAAAAAGGAAGGATGGGCCCCGGGCTTCACTGCAAACAGCCATCCTTTTGCAAAGGTATACGACACTCATGTCAAGATAATTTTTTAAACATCATTATTTGAAAAAGTACAGGAAAATGTCCCTTTAAAAACTCCAGAGGTTACTGAGCAGCTAGAATTAGCTTGTATTGCAACATGTCTTCTCCCTGTATATTGTAAGTTCTGAGTTAATATCTACACATAGAGGTTTTTTTTTAACTCCTACCTTTTATACCTTTCAAATATATAAATAGTATTAACAGTTATATTACAATGTTTGTGTAGTAAACAGAAAATAACTTTCAAAGTGATATTGCATGAGGTCTTTTACAAGGTTGCATGAGAGCACAACTCAAAAAAATAAAAATAAAAAATAAAAAAAATCCAACCATGTGGGACTGTTTAATGGCCGTTTAAAGCATGGATTCGGTTCTCTAGCCAGTCCTGAAGGTGAGGTCTCCTCTTGCAATTACTGTAAGTAGAAATGGAAAGTAATGCTACTGGTATTTCTGATAGGAAGCTGAAGGAGATTTGGAGAACTAAAGCAGATTGCAGCTTTAATGCTCATTCCACTGAACAGCCAGTTGGCATTAGTTCTGCTTTATGTAAGGTAATTGCTATGTAGGTAACTGGGGTGCTATTTCCTTTGCTGAAGAGTAGGTGCTTCTACTGCAGTCGCTTCACTTACTCTCTCACCTGGAGCTGCACAGTGATGCCAAACCAGGTTCTTACTAGGGCTGCCATATACCAGGGGAAGTGACGGGGCTTGGGTGCTCAGGGACTGGAAATGCCTGGTTAGGTGGACGCGAAGTGTGGGCAGAAGAGGAAGTCTAAAGCGGAACAGAAGTAAGAAGCAGCATTTGGAGAGCGGAGAGGATGGAGATCTATTTGAGAGGGAGCCCCTTTAACTGGGCAGCAACTTCTTTCCTAAGTTAACGTTACAATGAACTATTTTCTAGTAAAAAAAAAAAGCAAACAAAACAAAACCCAGCAAGAACAACATTTAAATGAGCAGGCTTATTCATTTTTAAGATTTGAAGCCACAAGCAGGTAAATAAATTTCACAACAAAATGTGGCTCATACTAGGAATTCCGTATGTCCAACATCAAAACGTCATGTTACCAAGACTGTACTAACGGACAAGTGTTCTCTGCACTGAATCTCAGCTTCACTCATTTAGAATTCCATAGAAAAGCATCTGTTCACTACAGTTACGACAAATTGAATAACGGAACGTATCAAGTCATTTTATTGAGTCATTTTAAGTGTGCATTGTGTCTTTAGCAATTTGACTTCTATCATTTTAATATGCCCTGATTTTTTTTTCACTTTACCTTCTTCTTTCTTTTTTTCTTTCTTTTTTTTTTTTTGGCAGTGTTGATTTATTTTGTTAAATACATACCTCAAAAATTACCCATTAAGCTGCCAGATAGGAAGCCAGAGAATTAAAAAAAATAATAATAATAAAATCAGGGATAAACACGAAAAATAAATAGGAATTCAAAAATAGTCACCCCACCCTGAGAGCAGGCCACAGTTTATCAAAAAGCCAAAGCGACTCACCGTGAAGTGGTTTTTTTTTTTTTTAATACATAAACAAGTCTTTTCTTTAAGAACTCATTTCACAGTCTATTCTTTCGGATTGTAAAGTTCTCTGTCCCATGCAATTTTAATATATATATGTAAATATAGAGATATATACATATACATATACACACACTGGTAGCTTCCTTCATTGATTCCGTGGGTCTTTTCGTCCTGGAACTTGCTGATGTCTCTCCCGTAAGCGCAAGGAGAACAAAGGCGGGGTCTCCCGGGGTTCTAAGAACGGCGATCCAGTCCGCTGGGATGGTGTAACACTTCCGTGTCTTTGCCAAGGCTATGTCTGATTCAGAAATACTGAAGTTAGTCTATAGGTGTATCCTGTGCAACGAAGACATGTCAAAAAAGGTAAGAAAAACAAAACAGACATAAAAAGACACAAATAAAATAAAGCAAAAAAAATTTTTTTTAAAAGGAACTAAAAGAGAAAATCCTTGGAGCGCTGTATTGCTTCGCCTGCTGGCAGTTCACATTATCTCTGGTCGATCTCGGCGGGCGGCGCCTTGCTCTTGTCGGCCGCCTCCTCCTCGGCCTCCACCTTGTACATCTCCTCCGAGCCTTCCTCGCTGTCGTTCTCCTCCGACTCGGTGAGCAGCTCCTCGTCCTTGTACTCGGCCACGTCCACCGCCGAGCCCAGGTGCTCCTTCAGCTTCCCGTGGTGCTTCACGTGGTACCGCTGGTTCTGGAAGAACTTGATGATGGTGTGTTTGGGGAGATCCAGCTGGGCCGACAGAGTGTGGATGGCTTCCTGGTCGGGGTACAGGCCTACGTCGTGAATAAAGCTTTGGAGGATCCCCAGCGCTTCCAAGGAGATCTTTGTGCGAGACCGGGGCTTTTTGGCACAGCTGTCTTCGGCCGCGGGCGGCGGGGGAGGCGCTTCTTCTCTGGGAGGCGAGCTCTCCTTGGCTGGCTGAGACTGCTGTCTGTGGAGAACCTGAGAAACCAACAGAGAAGTCAGCACGTGACCACGCGGGTACCTTCAGCCACCAACCCTCTAACATCTCTCTCTGTCACCGGCAACTCATCAAGCCTGGCTTGGGCACACTTCCTCATTTCTTTTTATTCTTTTTTTTTTTAAATATATTTATTTATTTGAAAGGCAGAATTAGGGAGAGGAAAAGACAGAGAGAAAAATCTTCCATCTGCTGGTTCATTTCCCAAGTGGCCACAGAGGAGCCTGGAACTCCATCTGGATGGAGTCCCCTGTGGGTGGCAGGGGCCCAAGCACTTGCGCCATCTTCCACTGCTTTCCCAGGCGCATTTGCAGGGAGCTGGATGGGAAGTGGAGCACTAAGGACTTGAACCAGCACTCATATGGGATGCAGGTGATGCCGACAGGGGCGTACATCACTATGCCACAACGCAGGGCCCTCTTTTTTTATTCTTAATGTCAAGTTTTCTAGTTGGCTGTAATTGAGTAATTTCTCTTTTATCTCTTCCTATTCCCCATTTACTCTTGATCTTCATAACTGCTTTTTCAATATTATCTCTCAGCATGAAATAATTTCCTATTCTAATGTGAATTCGTTGACTCCTTCAGTCTGACTCAAGAGAGGAAGGGGGCATTTGGCTGACTGGTTAAGCCTCAAGAGTACTGGATTCAAGTCCTGGCTCTGCTCCTGCTTCCCCCTTCCTGCTAGTCCAGGTCCTGGGAGGTAGCAGGCGCTGGCTCTGGTCACATTCAACAACTACTTGTCTGTCCTTAGCATGGGAACCAAACTGAGTTCCTAGTTCCCAGCGTGGTCCACCTCCCCCAAGCCGCTGCAGACATCTGAGGAGTGAACCACTGCATGGGAGCTCCCTCAAATAAATAAATGATGAATAAGATTTTTAAGAAGAAGAAAACAATGAGAGCTGCACTCGGGCTCTTACATTGTCTGCATGAGAAGGACTCCATGGAGAGAAGAGAGGGAGCAAGAGACTGGCCAGGAACCTCAGCCCTAACAGCTTCAGCTGCTGCTGTGAAAAGCCCCACTGAAATGCGCTCTGACGGCAAAAACCACCTCTCCTGCTCTGAGCTCCGAGCAGCACCTCTTAGATTCTCCCAAGACCTTGAAGAATGGTGAGCTCACTTTCTAGAAAAGCATGCATTTCTCCATTTACCATGAGTCCCTATTTCATGCAGTCTTCATCACCCTACAGCAACAAATAAAACACTTTCCGGAGTTCAAAGGGAAGCAGTCCAATCAATGCAGAAGAAAACGTCTAGTTACATTCGAGAACCATTTGTCCACCATCCCCATCACCAGGCACCACTTGTGTGACCCATTTTGTTAAGCTAAGAAACATCAACATCAAATCAAGGATTTAAGGAAAAATACTTCTCTGTCACTCATCCCAATCTTGGTGGCTCATGATTAGAAAAACAAAAATTTTTACCCATGTGCAAATGTTAATGTTTTTTAGACAATGTAATAAATATTATGAAAGATGAAATTGTTACCTAAGTAGGGCAACAATAAACAGAAGGGGTTTCAACTTTTCAAATAATAATCAATAATCAAAAATTAAAATCATAATCAAGAGCAAATGAGACTTTCTGTCATAATAAGCGGATGGCTGGTGGCAGACAGAAATTGAAACACAGGACTATAAAACAGTGGCACTAAAGTCCAAATAATGTTGACCAATTAAAATGAATGTTCTTAGCATTTTCTTTACCACTTTCAACTAAGAGTAAACTCGTGTGGTCTGTTGTGGTAAGCTGGCATCAGCAAAAAAGTGAGCGCTCCGTTCCTCTGGCAGCCTAATTATACCCGGCAGGGAAAGTAAAGCTGCATGGTGGGCTTGCGCTGCTCATGTCAGCTTTGATGGCAGGAAGATATCTGCTCTGAGGCCATAATCTGGGCAGCGTGAGCTCTGATACAAATAAACCCTGGTGTCCGCCGGTGAGGATTTCAGTCTTCGGTGAGAGGGGCTGAAATTACGTCCGGAATACTTATTTGAAGAACATCTACTCGAGCACGAGCACTCCTTATTAGAGCAATTGTGTTAATTGGAAAACAAAAGAGAATTAAAATGCCCCATTTTCTAAATTATGCTTGCCTTCTGTAGTAAAAGTCAGCAGAACGGTTCCATTTAATGGAATAATTAGATTGGTTCTTTAGGGGTTTTCCATTGTGCATTGGTTAGATTTAAAGAGATTTTTCCAAAACTATACTTTGAAGTTCCTATAATCTTTCTGCATGATAGCATTTGTTCCTCTCCTTAGGTCCAACCAATTGGCCTACTTCACCTCCTCCTGGTTCTTACAACTGAGCAGTAGTAATACAGATGTGCAGAGAACCAAACATGAAATAGACAAGGAACAACAGTAACAGCTACCACTCACTGAGTGCTTATAGTCTGTGCCAACTGTTCTGAGAACTCTGCATGGATTAATTAATTGAATCCTGAGCGTCCTTCGTGAAGGTGTTTTTTGGATCGAGAATAAGCTGGAAAGATGTAGCATATCAGGAGAATTCCTCTAAGCAGGAAATCGTAAACACGAGAAGCTGTGAGAATATTTCCAGAGCACAACAACAGTGTCACTGCCCATCGCATACTAGACAGATGTTTCTCAGTGAAGTCGGAATATGAAGAAATATTATCTGCAAAGTGGAATAGCTAGTCTCTGGCCAGACAGCAGAGTGAGGTAAGCAGGGCAACATGACCACAGCTACATGGAGACGACTAAGTGGCATCTCCAGCATCTTCTAGTAGGTGAGAGTAGTCCAAATACACATGACCACTGAGCCTCTCTGAAGTTGCCAAAAGTGCTGAGCCTTTTGTGCTCCATTGCCATTTTTCTTGTCTCTTACTCTTCTGTGATCACAATATACCTAAGGTCTGGGATGAAAAGTCTCCAATGTAGCTGTTCCAACTATCTTCATTCCCCGCAAAGTGTTTTAATTACTCTAGGCAGAGAGATATTCTCTCTAGACAAGCTCTAGCATGAGGACTACATAATTTCCTCTCTAGTGCATCTCTAAGAATTTTTCTTAATATCACATAGCGCTTTTCTTCTAGTGGTATGTAAGTTCTCTGAGCCAAAACAGAGTAGAGTTAAATATTTATAAGATGATCAGTCCTCAGCAAGACAATTAATTCAAACTCCCCTACCTAAAGGACAGAACTGAGTCAACTTTTACTTTCTCACAAATGGTCTAAATTAATGTGCCTTCTCTCAAAATGGGCTTGGGGAGGAGGAAAAACCCCGCTGTTCACACCTACCCATACCAAACATATACAAACTGCATTAACCCACAAATGAGTGCTTATATCCTCCAAAAGGCAGGTTCAAAACAGTTCTTATTTATTTATTTATTTTCATTTTATATAAAAGGGGGGGAGGAAGAGGCAGAGAGAGAGAGAGAGAAAGAGAGAGATGACAGAGAAAAATCTTCCATCCAGCTGTTCAATCCTTAAGTGCCTCCAAAACCTAGGGCTAGGCCAACCTGAAGTTAGCAGCCCAGAATTCATTCCATGTCTATGTGGATGGCAGCAACCAAGTACTTGAGCCATCATCTACTTCCTCCCAGGGTATACATTAATTAGGTATTAATTAGGAAGCCGGATGGAAAGGGAAGGAGCTGAACTCCAACCCAGCACTGTGATATGCGATGTGGGTGTCCCAAGTAATATCTTCACTGCTGCACCAAGCACCTGCTCATCACAGCAGTTTTAGTCATAAAATCCCCAAATTGGAAAGGAATCAAGTGTCTATCAATTGGAGAATGCAGAAATACATTGCATAACAGAGCAGGGGGGGGGGGATGAACTACTGGTAATGTAGGTAAGCATCACAGTCTTGTTTTTGAGTGAAATAAGCCAGATGTGAAAGATGAAAAACTGCATGTTCCCATTTATGTGAAAGACATGAACAGGAAAGACTAGGAGCTACCCCAAAATAGGGGAGGCCCGCAGTGACACATGTCAGCTTTACAGATCTAAAGCATAAACCTGTGGGGTTTCCTGAGTTTAAGGGAACAGGAGCCAGCCTTGTGGGGTGTTGAAAATATTCTGTGTATTACCCTGGATGTTGGCTAAAAGAATGTGTACATGGGGTGGGCATTTGGCACAAAGGTTTGGGACGCCCACATGCCGTATTGGAGTACCTGGGTTCTAGTCCTTGCTATGCTTCCAATTCCAGCTTCCCGCTAATGTACGCTCTGGGAGACAGCAGGTGATGGCTCAAACAATTGGGTTCCTGCCACCTAGGTGGGAGGCCTAGATTGAGTTCCTGGCTCCTGGCTTTGGCCTCGTCCCATCCTGGCTGTTGTGGGCATTTGTGGAGATCTCTGTCTCTCAACTAAATGAAATTAATTTAAAAATGTGTGTACATGTCTAAAAGATTACCAAATTGTATAATTAAAATCTATACATTTTACTATATGAATATTATACCATATCTCAATTTTAAAAATTAAAAGAAAAAAAACATAGGCCTAATCATTGATCTTTATGCCTATGATACAATAGTTCTCTTGAAAGATAATTTTTCAGTTCTTTTTACTCTTGACCTTAGTGTACACTGAATCCTGCCAGTTCATCCTATTATGGTTTGGACTTTTCTCCTTCACAATTGAACTAAATTAATCTGGTTATATTCATTTTTGATAATTTCTATAAAGAAAGTCCTAAAATGGTTATTACAAGCCTCTCTGATTTTTGTCACTTCTGGTTGTTGATTTCTCAATAGGACAGGGTTCATGACAGTAAAACATCAAAGTAGCTTCAATAAAAATAATAACACTAATAATAATTATCATTCATGTAAAATAACTTTGAGTCAAACATTGACCTCAATGTTATAAATATATTTATGTTACTTAATTTTCACATTAATCCTAGAAAGAGGTATTTTTACTCCAATTTATGATAGGAAAACTGCAGTTCCATGAATATAGATAATTTGTTCAAGGTACACAGCTTGTAAGTAGCAGTACTAGGCTG